TATATATATATATATATATATATATATATATATATATATATGAAGGATATGATAAAGCTATATAAATATCTTGATTTCCTTGAATTTATATTGCCTTGGATTCTTTATATGCTGACAAATAGAAGGAATGATCTAATAGATATGCGCTTTGTAAAAGAAGAAAAAAGTTTATTAGTAAAAGAGATATAAAAATAATTTATCTTCAAAATAAAAGAAATATGTCAAAATTGCAAAAGAGTAAATAAATAATAATAATACAATATACAAAATATTTTTTATATATTTATGAAAAACATTTGAAGAATCAAATTTACTGAAAAATCTATAACCGAACATAACATTGTACAATTAACGAACATATGAATACACACATATACACTCACTGATATGTTTCATGATAACATATTGTGTGCGTGTGTGTGTGTAAAATTTATATATATATTTGATAAAATTAATTGTTGAAAAATACTGGCGTAAATATAATAATTAACATATTATCACATTACATTGAAATATAATTCGATAACGATTTACTTTATTAGTATTTATCTTATTAAGACATATGTGCGTGCGTGTGTGCGTGCGTGCATGCATGCGAACGAATCAATGCTGGTAGATGGGTAAAAAAGTGAGAATATGTGTAGAAAAAGATTCGTGAAACGGATTTACACGTAAATATTTGTATAAACTTGAGAGACAAATTCTATAGTGCACTCGCAAGTGTCTGCATGCATTAATCAAGAGCAAACAGACAGAATGGCAGGGACATAGGATAGGGCCATCTTATAATGAGTTTTCACTGAGTTACACCATTCTCATTTCAGCAAATTTAGATCTTCAAACTTTATATATCAGCGTGTCTCAGACTTTGAGGCAGGAGTGAAAACAAATTCAAGGTGAGATCACAGCAGCGTGGTTTAGAATTAAGTTTAGCTTACTTACTGTATGACAAAATACACAATTATATTTTTCGAACGGAAAATGAATTTACACTTTAAACGTGCATGCTTCAGCGTTGTGTAGTATATTCACTGAAATTCATGTGCTTCAAATTCACTGATCAGATAATTATTTATATCTTTCTTCATTATGTGCTGTGTAGTAAGATTTTGCGTAATCGGTGAAGTAGCCAAAAAAAAAAATATATATATATATATATATATATACGTGTAGCTGTGATCAGTTGCCAACTTTATTTTCTATTATTTACACATTATATAGGTTCTTAATCTTATTATTTGTTATCAAGAACGCCGGAATTTGGCCTGCCAATGTTTGAGAAACACTGATATATCCTATACTTTGCACATATATTTATAAATGGTGGCTCTATCCCATATGTTCTTACAAAAATGTAAACAAAATGCATATGAAAAATGAGAAATCGCATCAATCAAATATTAATTAAAAAATATATGTTTAAGTTGTAGGTAATATTAATTATATTACCAACTATTATCTTAAAATTGAACCTTTTTCGGCATATTTCGATTCAATTATTTTTATCCATTTAGATAACTTGTTAAAATGAACGCGAGTATCATACGATAACCCATCCCCTCTATTTCTCTCCTTTCTGTCTTTCTCACACATTCATATTTCTAAGAAGCTTAAAAAGTTAAAGTCTTGAGACTACCTTTTTCTACTCCATTTATTATAACATAATTATTAGCGCGATTTATTATTATATTAGTAATAAAACATAATTTTTGAAACTTATTATTTTATCTTTTTATAAATTGAATGTTAAGAGATGCGCGTGCGCGTGTGTGTGCGTGTGCGTGTGCGAGCATATTTATATAAACATATGATTGCAACATATTGTTGCAAGTACTTGCACATACTTTGATTAATAAGTGCATGTGACGTATAAACTAACATTACATTTAATATTTTTAATCGGAACGTTTTGTGATATGTGAAAGCATTTGTGAAATATTGTAACTTTATCCTCGTATATAAATGTATATATATTTACATATATTGCATGGCTATTATATTACTTTAAAATTCAGTATAAATGCAAAATTCGTATCATTTTTCTAGATATATTCAGCTTTAAAAAGTTCATTTGTATCTGCCTAAATGCAAGCCATCGACAAGTTCGATTTTGTTTCTTCGCGTTATAAATATACTTATAGCATGTTATAACAAGGAAAATTTTATAAAAGATAATTATATTTATTAAAGTGTCCCTTTTTTTGTCATTTCTAATCTATTAATTTTAATCTATTGGGATATTTATATTTCTCTGATGAAAGAGAGAGAGAAAGCTAAACGAGGAGGGAGTGGAGGGAGACATAGAATTGTATTTTAATTGTATTTTTTTTTGTCTTTTCTTTCAAATTTGGGAAACATTATTTTGAAAAAAACTGGAAACGGAAAGTGGAATGTAAAACATATCTTTTTCTTTTTTTAGATATACCGACGAATTTAATGTTCGAGAAGATCTTATGGGACTAGCTATTGGTGCTCATGGTGCAAATATTCAACAAGCGCGAAAAGTTGATGGCATTACAAATATAGAATTAGAAGAAAATTCATGCACATTTAAGATATATGGAGAGGTAATAACAAAAATTATTATATGCTTTTATTATTCCTAAAAGCATCGTTTTATAAAGATTTATCTTTTTTTTCTAATTTAAACTCCAAAATACGCGTGTGTAAATTTTTTTATATGCATTGTGATATTTATATCAGGCTGTACATATGGAGATTATCAAACTTCTTTCTTGACAGACGCATGAAGCTGTTAAAAAGGCTCGATCTATGCTGGAATATAGCGAGGAATCTATACAAGTTCCACGAGTGTTGGTAGGAAAAGTAATTGGGAAAAATGGTCGCATTATCCAAGAAATTGTCGACAAAAGTGGCGTAGTAAGTATATTTGTACCGTTAATTAATACAATATAAAACGAGTTCTATACTTTTATAGCTATTACTTTCAGAATTAACTCTCAGGTAGGGACTCCTTTCTCGATTAACCTAGTGCCTATAAGAATATGGTTGATGATGTTATATAAGTATATTAATTTTCATTTTCAGTTGATACTGTATGATTTTGTTGAAACTATCAAATTTAAAATAGTACACCTAGATTACTTGTAATACTTTACAGATCATCTACATCTACCGATACATGTTTATCTCTCAGGGTATGTAACAATCATCCGAAATTTCCAACACGCGTTTTAAGCATAACAATGATTATAGGCACTCTGTGCTGCAACATGTACAGCACTCTCAGATTGTTGACAACGAGTCATACTTATGAGCTCTATAGTCAAAATTAATGTAGCATTCAATTGAAAATGGAAGTTATAACTTATGAGGGATTAGGTTATATATGACGTATACCTTGTCTGTTCTCGGTAGATAACAACTGGCTCGAGTGGGAATATACATATTGATAAAGTAAGTATGTCATTTCCTATTGTTTGTGATTTTATTCCATCCAGTTTAGTCAATCATTCATATAAATACATACATATATACACACACACGTGTATGTGTGTATATGTGTGTGTGTATGTGTGTGTGTGTATGTG